GCCCGGGTGGCCGAGTCGGACACAGAGTTGACCGCAGAGTCAATTTCAGGCAAATTGTTTTTAATGAAGTCCAACATCTATTTCAACACATATTTATGTTAACAATACTTAAATAATATTTTAAGCCTTATATTTACCCTCTGGTGCTGAGTGGCCCAGTATTCACTTCCCAATTCATGCAATGTGGGGATCAGTTTGACTAGAGTGGCCTGAACCTGGTCGGTCTGAGTCTTCCAGTCGGCCCTACCTCCGGCCTCATCCTTGCAAACGGTTGGCTGAACGGCGCGTCTCTTAGTGTCCAAATTGCACCTCCAGTTGATCACCTCAGATGTGACCGCGAATTTACCAGTGGCTAAGGGCTGATCCGTTTTGTTGCTAATGAACGGGATCTCAGCCAACGCTTTGTAGAAACCGTAGTCATAGACGGCGTGATGTATTTTGTTGAAGATATCGTACACCACCGGCAGGTGCTCCTCATCCCTCAGCTTCTTAGCGAAGTTCATCATATTAGTGTCCATTGTCTTTATATTTGTGCGAATCATAGCGAGGATGTCAAGGGAACCAAATGTCTTTTTGCTCAGCGCCTGGAGCTTAGCAATGGTGACATTGATGAGTTTGGCCTGTTCTGCCAGAATAGACGCCTGGTCAAACTTGTCAAAGTCGGCAAACTCTTGATCGTAGCATGTTACTATAGTTTGGACAAATTATTTATAAAATTAAAATAATTTTATAAAATAAAATTCAATAAAATAAGTTTATAATTACCGAAACACGCAAACGATACTAAAATTAGTGATTTAAACAACATTTTGATTTTATGGTTAAAACTTCTTATTCTGAATCATAAAAGATTTAAATTAGCAACGAGTGAGTTTACAGATTATATACCATTAAGATTACGAAATAATATTAACCGAAACACTTGTGCCGGTCATATCTGAATCATTATTTAACGTCAGTGTAAAAATCAGATAATTTATAAACATGATTAATTTGTTTGAGAATCCCGTTTTAAAGTATGTATAAATAATATGTGTGTTTTGTAATTTACGTATACTGTGGTTTACCATTACCTTTATCAAGTACAAAAATATGTATTAAGTGATTTATTATTTATTAACAGTGAATTCCTAAAGCAAGTAACATGTACACAATTAGTAATGTTATAAGGATTACAAAATAAAAATAATTTAAAATAAATGGAACTGATTACTAGAATTGAGATTTAATTTTAATTTCTATATTTTTTATTTTTTTATGCTAGCTTACTTTTTTACATTTATATTACATATCTGGTTCAATATATCGGATGAGTCCTG